AGAGAGAGAGAGAGAGAGAGAGAGAGATTGACTTCAAAGATTAAGCACATATAGAGTAAACAGTATTCACATTTACAATGGATGTCATAATTATTCAATTTATTAATTCAGTGATAAATAATACAAACAATAAACAAGTCTAATGAGCAAAATGTGTGATAGAGTGGATGTTTACACTGTGTATGTGTATGAAATGCAATAATCAAACCAAACAATTCAGTCATCAGTACTATCGACCGCACCGGAGGGCACGGCTGGCAAGGGTCCAGCTGTCGCCACCTGCGGCTGCTGTTGGCCACCATCGCCGCCCTCAGCGGCGTCGGCCTCCCTTTCCAGATACTCGTCCCACTGTTGTATACGTTTGGCCGCCTCCTCCTCGGTCTCGTCGGTCTTATAGCGTGTCCGGCCGTCCCAGTGCTCGGCCGCCAGTCGCCGGCCGGCGAAGAAGCGGCCATTCATGAGCTGAACGCACTGATCGGCGCCCGCGAACTCGGCGAACACCACAGCGGCCACCCCTTCCGGATGGCAGTCGTAAACGTCCACACGTTTCACTTCGCCGCACCGCTCGCCGCACTCGTCCCGCAAATCGCTCCGGTATTCCAGTATAAGCTTAGCGTCGGCCACGAAGTCCTTCGGATCAAACATATTGCTAATCACTACAGTTTTCTCGCACTTCGGCCGCTCAGTGACCACTTTGTCGGGCCTCCAGTCCAACAGTCTATTTGGGATAATAAACAGCAATAATTAGTTCATGAGGTGTTAAATAGTGGTAAAAAACAGTGATAATTACTTCTCAATCTTCTTCTTCTCCTTCTGTTTGTCGCGTTTGCGGCGCTTCGGCTTCAGTGACGGGTCGTATTGGCCTTTGGGCGTAAACCTCGCCCTCTCGACACTGATTGTCCGGTCGCCGACCCGATAGCCGTCGAGTATATTGAGCGCCAGATCCACGGACTCCCTCTTGAGGTAAGTGCAGAGTCCGTCGCCCTTCGGCTGTCCATTGCTGTCGCGATAGAGTTTCACTTTAAACTCGTTGCGCTCGTCTTTGGCCACATAACCGCACTTTTTCATCAGTTCCAGGAATGACTCTTCGGTGGTGTCTTCGGGCAGATTATTCACGTATACTTTGGTGTTGTGTTCGTCGGCGATGTCGAACCACTCGGGCGACGGCTCCTCCTCTTTGCGTTTGGCCAACAGTTTCGACACAAACGGCTTGTCCTTTGACTTTGTCTTCGAGTCCTTACGGCTATCGCCGGTCGACTGTGGATCTGTTGAAAGCGGCGGCGCGGGTGCTGTGAACTGGTGGTCGGTAGAGGTGTTGCCGGCGGTGGTAGCGGTAGTGTCGGCGTTGTTGTTGTCCTCGAAGTTCCCGTATTGGCTCTGGTATTGGGCGATGAAGTTGTCGTCGATCTTCGGGAACCAGGCCTTCATGTGTTCGTTCCACTCGTATTCGGTGCCGTCCGTCGGGTCCACCCGTGTCTTCACCGCCGCTTTGGCCTCCCTTTCCCTCTCCTCCTGAGCCAACTGGAACTCGAAGTCGTCGTCCGCCGCGTCGGCCATGTCTTGAGAGAGTCTGGAAGTGATTATTGGTAACTATAACGCGCCGCACATTCACCGACCGAGTGGTGACACCGAAAGACTTGTCTGCGGACTGATTATCACCGAAAGTCTGGTCCCAAAAGTGACCGCAAAAAACATAAACAAAACGTTTTTTTGCGTAAAATTAATACAAAACTGACGGTTCGCTCAATAAATAACGTGTTTTTACACACAATTACTATTGTATTTACTTTTAATCAATTTATTATTACATTTAATTCACTTTTAAAACCTATTAATTATAATTAAAACTCTAAATAATCATCAGTTTTGGAAATACACGTGTGTTTTAGTGGTAATGTATGCAAACAATTGATCCCATAATTGCCAATACATGTGTTGATTACATCTACCCTAGTCTTCGTTATGGGAAGCGATCATCACTTCTCGGCGGCGGCGCCCGTCTTCTTGCCGACCGATATCTTGACAGTAGAGGTGCCTCTAATCGGATCCGCCTTCAGGTCAACCTTCAGGGACTGCCGCACCTGTCGGGCGGCGATTGAACTGTACCGCAGATATCTGTGTTTGGGATCAGATTTAGTGATTAATACCGGTTTGCGAGACATTAATGGTGTGCTTACGTAACGCCCGCTGTTCTCCAATAAGTCATAGTCAATCGGTGGTCTCTTCGGCGGTGATCTTGGGATCAATTGGTGGCCAAAAATGTGGTTTTGTTTTGATTTATGTTTTTCTGCAGTTTTGCAATGACTTTGAGTGACTGTTAGTAAATAACGTTATAGTGTTTAATAGTCGTATTTTAGCCCCCGAATAGCCCCCCGAATCACTTGACTTAATACAATGCGAACGCAATGCCTGTCACTCAGCGTATCACTACTCCCGTTGTACTGCGCGTAACGCTATCTATGAATAGTATATTATGTCACGCTATATAGCGACGCATCGCTGTGGAGACAATCGCATTGATTATCATTGATTACAACGTATCCAAGTCTACAAACATTTCACATGGACTGTACGCCGCATAGCAGCACATGTTATCATTGACTACATTGTGTTGTCATTGGATTTCTATGTGTTTCTAGAAATTGAATCATAAATACAATAATCACTTGTTTTTTGTGATATCAAACACTCTTTGTCTTTGTCTGAGAGACACACCTTTGAGTCTTGGGATCCGTTCAGAGCGCTTGATATAACACAGACACCACTCGCCATGTCTTCAAACGAGGATAAGTTTGATGGCATACTGTTGTCGATGGCCAGAGAGCACACCGGAGGCGTCCAAGAGGTTTGTGTATTGCAAACACCATTACCACTATCTATACCCTCCCCCACCCTCTTAAGACATCACCAACTGATTGATCCAAACCATTGACTCATTCACTAATAACTAACACACAATCTATTGGTTGTCCGCAGCTTTTGGAGACATTTTTCAGCTTCTTGTGCCGTAAGACTGACTTCTACTTCGGAGCCGAGGGTTCGGCGGCCGAGAAGCTCGTGACCGACACTTTCCGCAAATATCAGGACATAAGCCGTAAAGTGAATGAAGAGAAGACCAAAGAGAGGGAAGAAGTGGAGAGACGGGAGCGACAGAAGCGGGAACAGCGCCGACGCGACGAAGAGGCGGCCATTAAGGCCAACGCTAGTCAACCACAGCAGCCGAAGATCGTGGAGTTGACCGACGAGGAGGCGGATCGGCTACAGAAGCAGATCTCCGCCGGTAAGACCGGTACCGCTGCGACGGCCGACGGCGGCGATAAGCTTACCGGTGCCGACAGCGCCAGTGATAGTAAGACTGATACTAACGGTACGGACGGTAAGGGAGACAAAGCCGATGACGACGACGAAGACGAGGCGGACAAAGGAAAGCTGAAGCCGAACGCCGGCAACGGCTGCGATTTGCCCGACTATACGTGGACTCAGACACTGTCGGAACTGGAGGTTCGGGTACCGCTGCGGGTGGCGTTCAAACTGCGAGCGCGAGATATAGTGGTCGAGTACAAGAAACGGCACCTGAAAGTGGGCGTCAAAGGCCAGCCCCCAGTCATTGACGGCGAACTGCACAACGAGATCAAAGTGGACGACTGTTGTTGGGTTCTTCAGGACACGAACACAGCGGTGATAACGTTGGAAAAGTGCCACCAAATGGAGTGGTGGCCGAGACTACAGGTGACCGATCCCGAGATGAATACGCGTAAAGTGAATCCCGAAGCGTCGAAGTTGTCTGATTTGGACGGCGAGACCCGATCGATGGTCGAGAAGATGATGTACGACCAAAGGCAGAAGGAGATGGGTTTGCCCACCAGTGAGGACCAGAAGAAACAGGACGTCATCAAGAAGTGAGTCCACCCGTTGTCTCTTATGGCCACTCATTGGCTATTAATAGGCCAGCGATTGGCCGTCAATGAGCACACAGTTGGCGCTATCGAGCGCCAAGTGATTGGCCATTGATTTTTGTTGATAATTGTATTTTTAACTAATGGTTTGTTTTGTTGTCTTTGTCTGCGATTAGGTTTATGGTCGACCATCCGGAGATGGACTTTACCAATTGTAAATTCACTTAGATGACTCATTTGGATGCTTTTTTTTGTCTACAGCGATTATACACACATTTTTTAATTAATGTCCTTTTTTGTTGGCGCCCGACGTATGGCCCGAGAAATGCAGTCATTTTTTAATTGAATTTTTTGTGAAATAATTTTTTTTTCTATTTGATTGTATTTTGTGTTCTCTCTCTCTCTCTCTCTCTCT